TTCATAAGACCTCAATATATCGTCAGGAGCCACGGGTATTAATTTGGTCTTGCCTGTATATGCTTTTTTGACTCTCAAAGTCACGGTAGCCATTGACTTGCATTTTATGATTCACCAAGGACCACAGTTTCAGCTAAAAATCTTCTTTACGGTTCTACTCAAAAAAACTAAATGAACAGCACATTTTCATTTTTGGGTGAACTATCCCTTTAACGACACTTCTGGTACTGTTTTGCTATTTAATTTTACCTTTGTGTGTATTTAAGTTCAAAACCATGTTGTTGTCTGATTTATCTTTTTGTTGATGTCTGTTTTGTTTTGTCTTGTTGCTGTGGTACTGTCCCTCTGTGTAGCTCTCACTCAATGCCCACGTGCGGAACCTTATTGAGGTGATCTGAAACCCTTTCTTTGTCCCTGTGTTTATTTATCCGTCCCTGATTCGGTCTTTATATGTTTCAAACAACTTGATTAATTTGATCCCTAACCAGATGTGTGGCATAATATGCTGAAATGTCATCATTTTGAATGTAGTTATAGTGTAAGTTAAAGGGATAGTTCACGTGCAAAATTATTATATAGTCTTTATTTTATGTCTTCCTAAACCTTTGGCTTGATTTTTTTTTCTGTGGGACATGCTTAATTTTACATTTCACTTTCATTATGTGGAAAAGAGCAGCATGCAAATTGTGCAAAATATCTTATTTTGTGCTTCACCGAAGAAATGAAGCCAGATTGGTTTTTAATGACATGAGGGTGAAACAATAATGTAAAACATTAATGCTATTAATAATTATCAGTGATTAGAATAAATCAAATATCTTAACCAATCAGAGAGTGTCTTGCTATTTTAGCCCCGCCCAAAACTTGTGTGATTATTGAATCACTGATGGTGTAGTATGATTTAGTTGACTATTACACTGCAGGTAATGTTTGATTATATTTAAACATCAATCTGTTTATAGATATGCATATTTTGATCCATATAATTTCTTTGAGTTGGTTTTATTTTATTTAGATCTATTTTTATTTGTAAAGAATCAAAATGTTACATAATTAACATTTTATTTT